ATTATACCAGTATGTTTCTTATTATAAATCATTTATATTCTAAATTCACAAATCAAAAAATACATTAAATTAATCTATTTTTTTAAATTTATCCTTATTCAAAGTTGAGAGAGAGGGGAGGAAAAGGATGGATTGTATAGGAAATAAAAAGTTAAAAGAGAAAGAGAAAGGAACGTGTTTCAATGAGCTATTACTTCATACTTTAATTAATTAATTTTTATTAAATTAATAGAGATAAAATTAAAAAAAATTATTAATTATACTAAAAGTGATTTATATTTTGCAACAAACTTTTAAAATACAAGTTACCTATAATAAGAAACAGAATGGTATACTCCAAGTCGAAAATAAAAGAAGTCACCAACAGGGTTGGCTTAATGAGTTAGGGGCATTTGGCATTTGAAAAAAAAAAAATTTTAAAAAGTATTTTTCTGTAAATCGAGATAAACTTCTCAACATATTTACTTTTTATACCATAAAATAACTTTTAAAATCATGATTTGAATTTTATCCAAATATCCCATAGTTTTACTTACTGATGACGTATCAGTGTTTAAATTCTTATTGGAAAAAGTGTCTACATTCAGTGAGTGCTCCATAGTATCTAAACAAAATTGAATTCAATAAAAATATACTTATGCCTAATAAAAAAATATTAAAAGTTTTTTGAAAAAAAATTTGGTTTAAAATATAAAAAATTGATATGATAATTAATTATAATTCTCCACTTTTATCCCTTATTATAAAAAAGTGTTTTTAATGCGGGAAAGAGATAAAAGAATTTTACAACCACATTCTTTAATAAAGATAAAATAAGTAATTTTTGTCCATTTAAAACACATTCAATAACTCATCTAACATTTCTTGTGTTTGTGAAAAAGTTTAACTAATGTCTTGTATTATGGTTGGCAAAAAAACTAATATCTTATACTATGAACTGGAGGGAGTATTGTCTTTTTTTTTTTGATATAAACTATCCGGTATCCAACCACGCTTTTTCTGGGCCCCAGCCTCTTTGGGCCAGTTGTACCCGAGCGATCGACTAGTCCGGATTCGGGCCGGGCGACAAGTAAAGCCCTCCCCTGTACCCTTTTTAACAAGTGAGGATTCGAACCCCCGCTCTCAAAGAGCAGAGACTCGCCTCACTTGTGGCCTAGCCAGTCACCACTAGGCCAGGAGTATTCGGGTGGAGTATTGTCATTTTTAATATAAGAGCTAATTTTGAGTTAGTTTAGTTCTAAATATAATATCTCAACACATTCTGTTTGTCAAATTTATAATTTTTTTTTAAAATATCCTTATTGATTGTACACATTAAATGATTCCTATCAAATGTTATTTCTAATACACATGATTAAATATGATAGCTTAGTGAAGCCAACACACACATTTATTATAAATAACTAACTTAACTAATTTTATTAATATTTTTAAATTAATTACCTAATTTTTATATTAAGGAGAGAGTTAGTATATGGGGGTTAGAACACAATAGGACCAAAGGTGATGGTAAATGAATTGTCTTTTTGTATAATATATTCTTATTTACGAAAAAGCGACGACACAGGAAATGAGTAGGAAAACCAGCTTTACGATTATACCCACTCATTTGGGGAACAAAATCACAGAAGATGGGACTAACCCGAACTCAAGTTTTGTTATTGATTAGTAGCCCCAGTCATTAATATAAAAATAAATGGACTAATTTAAATAAATTACTTATAATAAATAGATATTGTCTTTTTTAAAATAATCTTACCAATTATGTATATTGAAACTACCATTTAATGAAATTTTTAATATGCGTAAGTTGCAACTACTATAAAGATTATATTGAAAAAAATAAATAAATATAATAAACAAAATATATTGAGATCTTATATTTAAAACCAAATTAAATATCAAACTAGTTCTTATATTAAAGATCAGAAATAATATTAAGGGATAAAGTGATTAAATACTCTAAAAGTATACACAAAAGAGCACTCAGTATCTGAAATTTTTTGACTCTTTATTTCATAGCATTTCTGCATTGAACATTTATTCGTCGTTAAGTTTGATCATTAAAAGTATTTGTTAAACTATATAATTTAATGGTCAAACTTAACAATAGATAACAACCAGTGTATTTTTGTCATGAAAATAAATTTTTAAGACATATAAAAACTAAAAAAATCTTTAGATGCTAAGTGATATACTTTCTAAGTATTTAAATACTTATCGGTAATATTAATTTATGGCTGTAAATAATTGAAAAAGATGGGGGGTGTCGGCGTGTGGTCCAAGACAAGATACGGGATCAGGGTGCCGGGAAAACGATGATAAATATAAATATATAATTAATTTAAAAATAGAATCATCGAACGAGGTTGAGAATGATGAGTCAAAAGTCAAAGCTCACAAGTCACAACTAATTAAGGCCACTTTCATTAATTGATCATTGCTGACATTGACCCCCTTAATTGATCAAAGCCTAATTAACTTCAACACTAACCCTCGGCGGCTCCCTAATTATTAAACCCTCTTAGCTCTTAATTAGCCAAGCACGCCTCGGTCCAGCTCAGTAACATGATCACCTCAATTCTCAACGTATGGGTCTCAAGCCACTATACACTTCATAACTGATTCTACTTCTCTTGTCCTATTTATAAGGTACTTCCAACATATTTTATACAAATAAAAAAAAATCTTAAATTGTATTAACTCTTTATTAACATATAGCAAATTTTTAACTTTACCTCTATTTAATATATACGTCTTTCAAAAAAAATAATTATCTACATTATGATAAATGAAGGACAATATAGTACATTCATGATGAAAATTTAATAAAATGACTTATAAATAAGACAAAAAATATTTTTTTTCTGTCTTGTAAATAGGGCTAGAGGAGTGGTTTTTAAGGTTTAAAATCTCACACTCCATTCCAATTCATAATATAAATCATTCTTAGAGTAATAATTTAATTTAAAATATAAGTTACCTGCTCAGAGAATAATTATTATTTATTTGTTAATTCTGTTTCCCTTACCAATGCTTAAATGCATGTAATTATTTTTTTTTCCACCTCATTTAATATGAGTAAAATTAAAAAAAATTCAATTTAAAATATACTTAATGAGTTCTTATCGCAGTTCTTTTATTATGATGAATTAATTGAAATTGTTTATATAGTAGATAAAAAGAAGTATCACTCTGATTATCATCACTTGTAACATATTTTGACATATCAAAAAATGTACCATTAAATTGACAAAATTTTTCAATTTTGTTTTTATTAAAAAATCTCTCTCATAGTATATTTACAAATTATTTTCATATTTCTCATTTCTTTCTCTACTTTCAATAAAAATTAAATAAAATTAAAATTAAAAAATAAACATTAAATATATTACAAATAACTTATATTTAGAAATAAGACTTTGTCGTATAAATAATTTATATCTAGAATATGCTTGAACTAGTCAGGCAAGAATAGAGTTAAAAGTAAAGGCTGTTTGACTTTTTCTAAACGAAGGGAATGAAATTGATTGATGCAAGACAGCTCAATTTTTATTAGCTGCATCTATTCAGTTCCTCCATTAAACTTTTAATACCATATCATTGTCTTTTTGCGCCATTAATCACTGTGTTCATTTTTTTTTAATTAAAGTTCAGATGGCATGGCATATTATTAATCTCTCTAATTCATTGTACTTTCCCTACCTAATTAGATCCGTATCATTTCAAGATCCAAGCTTTATTCCCGTCAGCGGGTTTATGCTAAAATATTACTTCCATCTTTATTTGTATGATTATTGATTAGTAGTTGGATTAGGCGGAAAATTAAGTAAAAGATACTTAATTTTTCTGAAGATAAAAGATTTGAATCTTGTGATGAGGCAAAAAAAAAAAAACATCGCGTATTTTTCTCTCTACTATATATAAGTTTTAAAGATAATTAGTAGAATTATTACCTCCAATCTTAAATATTACTTACCTTGATCTTAAATATAAAATCGCTTTACCTTTCAAATTCATGGTAATAATTTTTTACTCGAAGTATCCGTATTGATAGCACATATCAAAAGGGTTCCTAATCAATGGATAGTTTTAACTTTTAATGAACATAATTAAAGAAAATAATTTCAGTAAATTAAGACACATTTATTATAAACTAATTTAACTAATTTTTTTAATATCCACTAATACTTATATCAACTACCAAAGGTAATATTAATCTCTTATGAATAGGGGGACTAGAATGTATAAAATCAAGTGAAAATCAGTAAAAAGTCCTTATTTAAAAATTTTATTAGCCATAAACATCTAAATTCGTGTACTGGAGTACGAATACTTTCTTTATACAAAAACATATAACGTTGTTCTAATCAATAAAATTTTCAAATAACAATGGTGCATTGTCTTAGTGGAAGGTTTTATTCCCACGGGATCAGTTTGGACTCCTTTCCAAATTTAAAAAGAAAACAAATGGAAACTATTTTACATATTTTTCCTAAAATCATCAAATGGACAGGATATGGGCGTGTCAGTATTATAGAAATAATCATGACAATGAAAATATTTAAAATTGGAGATTCACTTTTTTTTTTGGTTGAGCAGAATGGATGGAGATTCACTTATCAAACTAACGCATTTATTTTTTGGCCACAAAAAAACTAACGCATTTATTAAAGAATTTATAAAACTATAAACAATGTTATACATTCCAACTCAGTTTAACGTCCAAAGAACTTGTATAATTGCCTTAAAAACGTCAAGCATGGAATATAATATTTCTCCGATCTGAAATATAAAACCTAATTTTTAGTGTAAGTTCTACTAAAATAATAGGTTTTATATTTAGAACCGAAAGGAATAAAATATATAAGGATGATTAATATGTTTTTGTTGTTTATTAAAAAAAAAAGAAGATGTTTTCAGTAATCTGAAATGAAAAATAAATTTCGTCATAACAGCATAAATGTAAATAATATTCATAAAAGCAAAACAAAAAAGTACAATACCAAAAGATCAACATCCTAAACAAGTCCTTTACATGTTGAACCACAACTATAAAAATAAAACATGACCAACTAAAACCACAGTGAATGTTTCCCTCTTAGGGGGAAGATAGCAGAGAGCTATATATAAAGTAATAATTGAAAGCATATATTACAACTAAAGATAGGTCTAATCCAAAGCTAAATTAATCAAAACTAAGATTAGAGGCCAACACAATTTCTTGAAGTGGTGATTCCACCATCAACCACCAGATTATGGCCACTTACATACTTTGATTCATCACTCGCGAGATAAAGTGCAGCTTCTGCAATATCCTTCGCCTTCAACGTTGTCCCTTTCAAATTCGCCAATCCTCTCACGAACTCCTCCATCTTCTCCACTTCCTCTTCCACTGGCAACCCAAAGTTCAGACTTGCTTCATCTTCTCCGTCGTCTCCGCTTCTCCACGCATTCACCAGCATCGAAGTCGCCACCCCGAATGGCGATATACAGTTAACCCGAATCCCATATTTCCCCAGCTCACAAGCTGTGTTCTTCGTGAGCCCAACTATGGCGTGCTTTGAAGCTGTGTAAGCATGAGGACCGAGTCCTCCCATAACTCCGGCGACGCTTGACGTCGATATGATGCACCCAGATAGCCGGGGAATCATCACTCTCGCCGCGTGCTTGATTCCGAGAGCCACACCCTTCACGTTCACTCGCATGACTCGGTCGAACTCGTCGGAGTCGAAGTTGACGATGCTCTTGTTCTTTGACTGGTTTCCTAACATCCCGGCATTGTTGAAGATTATATCGAGCTGGCCGTACCGAGAGATTGTGGATTTCACTAAGCTTTCCACGTCGTCTTCGGAGCTGACATCACAGTGGAAGAACGTGGCTGAAGGAGATAATGCCTCTGCAAGTAAAGATCCAAGTGCGTCTTCAACGTCGGCGATCACAACTTTGGCTCCTTGCTTCACGAACAATCTTACCGTTGCTTCCCCTATTCCTCTCGCTCCTCCGGTCACTATAGCCACTTTTCCTTCCAATCTGTAGAGAAAAACAAGATTTGTTCGGTGAGTTTCAGTTCATTCTCTTGGTTCTGTTCGGCGATGCTTCAAACAGGGGGAAACAGAGCAGGTGTGAACAGAGAGAAGAAATGAAAGGAATACCTTCTGGGGGAAGACAAAGTGTGGTCCTTTGCCATTAGAGAGACACTCTGGAGGTTTGTCTCGGGCATTACTTCGGCGGCAACCATGGCTGAGCTCTTAAACGGAGCGTCCTGGGACCTCACAGACGCAGAGAGAGAGAGAGAGAGGGAGGGAGAGGGAGAGAGCAGAGAGAAGATGGCAAGTGCTCTGAAATTGGCATAACAGAGGAGGCTAAATATAGGGAGTGTACGAGGGATTTGGTCTTTATTTATTTAGGTTTTTCGATCTGTGCAGACTTCTGAACTAATATTTTTTTTTTTTTGATCATTTGAACTAATATATTTTAAAAAGGCCAGCAACTTGCTCTCTCTCTCTCTCTCTCTCTCTCTCTCTCTTCCCAGTTATTTTGCCTTTTTTTTCTTTTTCGGAATAAGACATTTTACTTGTTTTTAGTATATCCATTTGGGATGGGATGGGATTCCATATATTTGGTCAAAACAGAAATTGGGATTCCATATTACCAGGGGAGATTCAAGCATTATTGGACTATTCAACACTTTTTTTTCGTTTAGTTTTTAGAATATATTCTTAAGAATAAAAACAAGATAATATTTATATCAAGTTGTTTATATTTGTTATGTCAAGTCCTTTAATTATATTTAGCATTTAATAGCACATAGTTATAAACTCATATGAAAAAAAACTTAAAATACATAACTATGTATAATTGTGAATTTAACATAATAGATATCAATAACGGGACATAATATAAAAGTAATAGTTATTGACACATTGTTTGAAAATAATTATGCTTCTACTGTATGTGGCAAAGTGATATAATTTCAATTAATTATATTAATTACTTTGATTGCTTCAGGTTCACATTAATTGCTTTGAATTAAATCCCATTTATAATTTATAATTTGTATTATTTGCAATAATTTATATGTATCTGGTAGACAATCAATTTAATTCAACGCATTTCCATAAAATCCCATTTATAATTTATAATTTGTATTAATTGCTACAATTTATAATTTTATATGTATTTGATAGACAATCAATTCAATTCAATGCATTTTCTATTTTTTTCCTATGACTTTTGTTGCCGTCTATTTTTTCCTATGATTTGATTATATAAAGGTGAGCATTGATATAAATTAGCACATAGCCAGACATTAACCTGTAATTAATTTGGTTGATTTTAATAGTAGTACATAATAGGAGTAACCTGTTTATTTTTTAAATACTTATTTAAAACAGAAAAGTTATATCCTTAGCTTAAATACCAAGCTAAAGTATATATTTAATCCTTTAACTTTACACAAGGTCTCAATTTAGTCCTTTAACTTTAAAAAACATGCATTTGGTTCTTTAACCCTAAAATTATTAGGTTTCAATGATGATTTTTTTTGTAACCATCACAAATATTTTGAAAATTAAACTTAATATATTAGTATTTGAGAATATTTTATCAATATTTAAGATCTTAATTTCATCATTTTAAAAAAAATTTTAGGATTAAATGACTAAAAATATACTTTTTAAAATTAAAAGACCAAATTAAAACCTTATACAAAATTATAAGACCAGATGTATCATTTAGCCTAAATACCAAGGTGCTTATTTTCAATTAAATCATTGAATAATAATAATAATAATAATAACAATAATAATAATAATAATGTTGGAGTAACTCTTTTTTGTTTAAAAAAAGAAATTGGGATCAACCATTGGACTAGGTTTTTGACCTGAAAGTGTTCTGCCTAAAGGAAGAAAATAGTCCACCCAAAAGCTGGTTTCGAAAGTTGCCTTCTAAAGTAGGGCACTTTTTCCAAAACAAGCTAAAGAAGCAATTGCTGGTTCCTGCAGAAAATACCAAAACTTGATCAAAATAATATTAAAAAAAAGTAAAAAATTCTTTAAAAAATCAACATATTGAGATATAATTATATATAATAAAAGTTGGTCCATTATGCCATGGATCTACTGTGCACTAGGGCTAAACAACAAGTGGGATGAACTAGCCCAGAGGTTAGTCCATAACCTATAAAAGGGTATGAGTTAACCCATAACCCGATAGCAGCCCATTTAAGCCCGTATTAAATGGATTACGAGACAATCCGTTTGGACTGACCAGGTTATAGGATAACTCGTTTAGTTTTTTTTTTGGACAGTTTTTTTAGCATAGCAACCTTGTATGCAATCTTGTGAAACTGTCAATAAATTTTGCATACCAAATAACAGACCAAATATGAAATAACATTACATAATATCAATCATATTCAATCCCACAATCTTACATGTAGTTATTTAATGAAGAATAAAAATATTTAAAAAAAATTAAAACTTAAACGGGCAGGTATTGGTAGCCCAAGCCCGTCTATCCTTCCCATTTAAGCCTCCCATTTATAATTTTTTATTTGGACTAATTAGGTAGATTTAAACAAGTAAAAATTTACTGGGCCATCAGCAAGCTAGCGGATAATGGGTTTTTAGCTCACTGCTACTGTGCACTTTGGCTTTTGCAATATTTTATTTTTTTCATTAAAATTTCAATATACTTACCCCTCCCATCTTTTTAATCTTAACAGGCCCCTGTCCTCTTTTTAGGTAAACAAAAAAATAGTTTTTATATATAGGCTCCTAATGGTCCCCAATGTCAGAAATAGCCCCTACATTAGTGCAAGGTTTTCCGTAAAGGAGCTCCAATACCAATTAATAAAAAACCAGCATATATCTTCTCTTTTTTATTTTTAGATATGAAATTAATAATTACAAAAATTTTCTCATCTCCATCTTATCCAAAAGTAAAAATGTATAGAATACATGACAAAACATTAGTAAATTTCCAATATAATTAAAATCATGCAATCACTTACGGGTACAAATCAAAGCTTGAATACTTAATGAAACACAAGAAAAATTAATGCTGAAAATTAATTTACTAACAACTATAGCAGTCAGGATGGTAAAAAGTATGGGAAAATTGGGAAAAAGCCTTTATTAACAAATTTATTGGTGAGATCTAAATCAGAGTATCAGTATATTATGGGTACAAAATTTACAGATTAGCAGTGTTTTCTATTTATCATGTTCTTTTCACCAATAAAATTTTTAATGAGCATATTTCTTCAGTTCTCCCTGAAATTTTTTAAGTAAATAACAATAAAAAGATACGAAATAATTAACCCCTCTTTTTTTTTTCTTTCTTTGAAAAAAAGAGCATCAGAGTTCAAAAAGAAAAAATATTATTTGAAACATATAAGCGATAACTTTAAAAAATGTTAGTAAAAACAATAATATCTTCAATAAAGACGTTTGAATGAAAAAAAGACTGTACTGCTCCGTTCTTTATTATAAGATCTAACTTTTTGAATAGATCTGTCCCTTTTTATAAAATCATCTTTGAGTTTGTTTGAGTATTTAATGTATTATTACATATTTTATCTCTAATTTAATTTATTTCATATATTCTTTTTTTTTTCATTTATCTCACTATTACTCTCTCACATTTGTCTATTTATATACAGGAGTATATTTGAAAAAAAATTGTATTTGCTATATATTAATTATTTTTAACTAAGTTTAACTGTTTTCTTAAACAGCATAATTTAGTTAAAAGGATTTTATAATTAAAAACGCAAGGAGTCATTTGTTATGACAATAAGTCTTCTTGAAACCAGTTACTTTCACTGGATCCCTTGACAAATTTCTAGAAGAACTATAACTGATTGTATTATTCAAGATAAGATCCTCTTTAAGAGATGATAGGCAAAGGTTTCATGATGAGGAAGCGTGATTCTTTGTAATATTTAATGTTTTGCAAAAGTATAGATTTAGTTATTTAATGTTTTGCAAATGTCTATACTCATTTAACTTTATATAATATTTTAATTTGATCCCTTAAATTTTAAAAAAATATTTTTAGTTTTCTGATCTTAAAATTATTAATCTTGAATGGTGATTTTTTTTGTAACAATCATACTTATTTGGCAAATTAAACTTGATAAGAATGTTTTATCAATATTCAAGATCTTAATATCATTATTTTTTGTTAATGATTTTGGGATTAAGAGATAAAAAAATATACTTTTTAAAGTTAAAGGTGAAACACACACTCTAGCTTTACTGTTTTTAATTTTTAAAATTCTAAGGAGGGGAACCATATGAGTCACGTGGGAACTAAATTAGAAGAGAATGGAGAAGTAGAAGATAAGGTTTTTTTGTTCACAGTGCTCCTTTAAACCAAAATGTTAGCTTTTTGTTTGCTTTGGCTTTTCCCATCAACACATTCTTAATTACTATATATTGTTACTCCAAATCCTTCCCTCTTTTTATTCTTTAAACTTGGCATTTCCATGATTAGCAATTTTTAATCACAACTCTCTATAATGTTGTTGGGGCCATTGAACCATAAACAAGCTCCAATATTTTTCATCACCTCGAGAAACTGGGAATGCTGAACTTTGTGCAAAGCAACGTCTATGGTCCCCCAAACACTTGTTCTATTGTTACTTGGAAAAACAAATTAAAATATCAAAAGCTTAAAGAAAATGAAAGATGTTATGAAATGATCCGAAATGAAACCACAAAAGTAAAATAGAGAAAGATGAAGACAAGAGAATGAGAGAACTTTTGTATTTCTTCACTTGTACTACAATACAAATGACATGCCCTATTTATAGGCATAGTCTTGTACATAGGTTACACTTGTCCTTAAATTACAAATAATGGATAATCAGTCCCATGAATGTGAATGGAGATAAATTACAAGAGTGAATAGATAGTGAAGGAGTAATGGATGGTGGAGGTAATGAAATTTACTTGGAGAAGATGAAGCAGAAGAGGTAAATAGACATCCATATAATATTCATGACAAAAGAAAGTGGTAATTATTGATTAATATTAACATAACAATCCGTGGTGGTCCTATGCATTAATTCATTATCTTGTGAGTGAGATGCCACCTCCAACATTGCTATTTCTTTGTGTTTTTTTAATTTAACAAGGAGTAGCTAATGGGTTTGAAAAATCCCAATCAATTTTCAGTAACTAAATTTTTTTTTAGGAGGCCATCGTCTCGTCTTTCGAATCAATCAAGCAATCAAAAGGTATATTTCCTTCTTTATGTGTAAGTTATTTTAAATAATAAA